AAAAAAAAAAAAAAAAAAAAAAAAAAAAAAAAAAAAAAAAAAAAAAAAAAAAAAAAAAAAAAAAGAATTTGATGAAAAATAATATTAAATATTAAAATGGCACTCCACGGTATGCCTCTGCTAATAATCCATAATATCTCAAAATCCAGCCGTTGGATCATCCAAAACCAGGTACTTGGATCATCCAAAATCAGGTACAATCTAAAACATTCACACCTCATCCCTTTTAACCGTTGAAATTTGAAACAAAGGTGGACAAGGCTTTGATGGGAGAAACTCGAAAATCTAGAATCATGTAAAATCATGACGATTCTAGATGATTCAAAGGTGGTGGATCCTCCCTCTATAAAGTATGATCGGTGGGCAACCATTTTGGAGCAAGAAGCAAGGCATATCGAGCCTTCAATCGAGAGTTAGCCTTTTGTTTATGGGTATGGAGTTCTCGAGTTTAGCTGAAATTTGAGAGTTGCAATCCACCATTTTTCTCCAAGCTTGAACCTACACTTTCTAAACAAAATTACCAACAAGTTTGGTGAAGAAAGGTAACGAGATGCATCAAAACAGTTTCCCCAAATTTGCCCTCCATTGAAGGAGCTTGAAGTGAAACTAAAAATTCGATCTGAGGCTATAGGCGAATTCACCGAGTAAGACCTATTCTAGTCAGCTTTTGTGCATCCAAGAGACGTTTTTGTAGAAGACCACAAAAGGTATTAACTCCAAGAACGTGCTTAACCAGAGAAATTCAGTATCGAGTAAGATTTTGGAGAAAAACTAGAATCTTCGTTTACCGTTCATAATGCTAAAAATTAAGGATTCTATTAGCCTTAGAGGACTAAAGTAAACTTATCTTGTAGAGGGGTCAAGGACTAATTCGCCCGTTATTGAGCTGCCCAGAAGAATTCAACTCTACGTTCTTGGTTGAGTTATAGATGATATGGAAGTCTGATTAATTCACCACATCCACGGCAAGTCGTTCCTCCAAGTTTATTCTTCTAGTTTGAGAGAAGTATAAGGAGGAATTCTTGTGACAAACTATGACAAACTCTGGGTTTGCTCCGGCCAGATATAGAGTTTTCAACAACTTTGGAAGCTAATAACTTAAATTATAACCCACTAAAAGGTAAGATATCAATTCTTAACTCTTTCTTGTCATTCCATCTTTAAGTTTTATAAAGGAATTGAGGAGAGAAACGTTCTAAAATGGGTTGGAGAAAGTTGTTTAGAGGTGACACAATTAGACAACCACGTCTTCTTCCCTGCGAGAGTAAGAAGATGATGACGTGGTTGGTTCAATCGAACCTCCCATGTCAGCCCAAAAAAACTTGCCTCTCCTTGATTTTTTTTTTTTTTTTTAAAAAACCAAATTGAACTCCTATTTAAGGAAGTCGCTCGAGAAATGAGAACCCAAACCTAGGACAAAGAGGTAAGTAGTCATTTTAGACTTATATAAAAAAAAAATATTTATAGGAATCACTTGGATTTTGATATAAATCTTAGGTTAAGTATGAATTAATGATATATGAAAGAAAAATATTAAGAATCATGAGTTAAAGACCCAAACCTAACGTTTTGCTTTAGAATTGAATAATGTTAAAATGACTTCTTAAATGAACTTCTGATGTTTACGAAACTTTAGAATTGGGCATAATATGACATGTTAAAGTTACGTGTGAAATTTGGTGGCTACTAGACATGACTAAGTTGGTGAAGCAAGAGAATAGGAGAGTACAACCAATCCGAGAACTCACCCCAAATTATAAGGGTTGGGTTGGGTTCGGATTCCAAAATAAATTAATTGGATCAACCCTCCGAAAAGATACAAAAAAAAAATAAAACTAAAAATAAAAAAAAAATAAAATAAAATAGTCCAACGGTCACAACCAAGTGATTGAACGAGTCGAAGCCCACGTCGCTATTTGTCCCTATGTCTTGCGACATCGTACCTTCCGCCACCATACTCTCTCTTTGACATCGTCTAGCATCTGCCGTTTGACTGTGAGTCCGATTTCTCTAACCTTTTACTCTTTGTCTCTTTCTCAAATTTTCACTTTTACCGTCTTTCCCAGTCTTTCACCTAAGCCTCTCATAGTCACAATCTCTCAACTCTCAGACTTCAGTCTCGACTCTCCTCCGCGCGATGCCGCAAAGTTGTGGTCTCGACTCTCCTCTCCGTCTCTCCATCTCAATCTCGATCTCTCCTCGTCTTTGACACTCCACAATCCGTCTCTCGATATCTCGGATTCAACTTTAAGTGGGTAACTGAAATGGTAAGCATTTCTGCTTCTCTGCACTCTGTGGCTTGGTTTGGCTGGATCTGCATCTCTTGGGTTGGCTTGGCTGTATCTGCATATTTGGATGTACATATTTGCATGTCTGCATCTCCATTATTTATGGCTAGGTGGTATTTTTTTGGATTTTTATAAATGTGGTATGGACGGAGAGTTTTTATTTTTTTAATAAATGTGGCTATAAATGTATCTGAATATCTACCTCTCCATTGGTTGTATTTTTTTTTTGGACAGTTTTTTTATAAATGTGGTTTGGACATAGAGTCTTTTTTATAACTTTGGCTATCAATGTATCTGCATATGTGCATCTCCATCTCCATTATTTATGGCTAGGTGACATCTTCATTATTTAGATGACATCTCCATTATTTATGGCTAGGTGGCATCTCCATCTCCATTTTTTCACAATGTCTTGATATAAAAGAAAGAAGGCATGTGGGGCCATTTTCATTTTCGTTATCAATATGCAATCTATGTGGTCCTCCTTCCCCTTTATTTTAATCCACAAATCTGTAGATAATGGTTCAAGAATTCTTATAGAATAGACATATTGACAGAACCATGTGTACACTTTCATCTATCTTTCTGGAATAGTCTCAAGCAACCCAAATGGCCTCGACCTTGAGCGAATCCTCCAGAATACCCACAAATGCTTCAAGGATTGTGTTGATAACCGGCGTGAGCAAAGGTTTAGGGAGAGCCCTAGCCTTGGAGTTAGCTAACCGTGGTCACACCATAATTGGCTGTTCACGTGACCAACCTAAACTTGATTCCCTTCGTCATCAACTTTCTTCCAATAACCACTTGCTATTCAATGCTAATGTGGTAAGCAAATGCTCTAACCCCACGTCCTAAGTACTTAGAAAAGTGAATGAAAAGGTTTGTTTTGCAGAGATCAAACGATAGTGTTGAAGAGCTAGCAAGAGTGGTTGTCCAAAACAAACTCGTTCCTGATATTATTGGTATTCCTCTCCCTTTTTTCATATAATTTCTTACTTCAACCAAAATTTGAGAAACTAAGCACTTCTTTCTTGATTATTGACAGTGAATAATGCAGCTGTTATTAATAGAAATAGGAACCTATGGGAGGTGGATGTCGAAGAATTTGATAATGTTATAGATACCAATGTCAAAGGGACAGCAAACTTATTGCGCCATTTCATTCCTCTTATGATTCAAAACAAGCATGGAATAATCATTAACATGTCTTCAATGGCCGGAAGAAATGGAATTATACATGTAAGTCATTTATATTAAACTTTTATGGAAAGATTTAGTGACTCGTGAAAATAGTTATTAACTTGATAAGTTTAGAAAAATGGTTAGTGATTTATGAAAGAGAGTTGCTAGATTGTGGAGAAAGTTTAAGAAAATAGCTAGTGATTTATTGATGAGAATGTTCGTAGTTTTAACCGAAAGTTTAAAAAATTTGTTAATGTTTACTCCTTTATAAATACTCACTAAATGTATTCTCTATTCACAACAACAAAGAAAATTGAAAAGCATAGTGCTTAAGTTGTTCTTTCTATACTTATTTCTTTCGATATTATTTGAATTGTGGGTCATATCCAACATTTGGTATTGGAGTTCGGATGCTGAAACAAATGTCGTCACCATACAAAGTCGTCGGAGGAGATATGACGATGATAAAAGCGAAAAATAGGGGAATGTAACGATCTAGTACGCGTTACTTGTGAAGAGTAACTACGCAACATGGTTAATAAAGATGTGTGTTAACTTACGGGCACAAGACGTGTGGGACGCCATCAAACATAGTGATGACATTGAGGAGCATAAGGATCAGATGACTCTTGCCACCATCAACCAAGTAGTCTCGGAGGACATCTTTCTCATGTTGGCAGAGAAAGACTCTGCAAAGGCAGTGTTGGAGACGTTGCAAACAATACATGTGGTGTGGAACATGTCAAGGAAGCAAAGGTGCAGACCTTGAAAAGTGAGTTCGAGACTATCCGCATGACAGTGAATCGACAGCAACATCTATTTGTTAGGCAACAAGGTGGAGTAGATCTCCATCGTCAAGAAGTTTCGTCGAGCTATTTCTCAAGATTCATGAAGATTGTTACCTCCATTGATTAGTTCAACGACATCAAGAATATGTCGGTTGAGGAGGTCGTTGATCATCTTAAGGTCCATGAGGAGAGATTTCGTGGATATAAAAACAAAGAGGAGGAGAAATGCCTCTTACTCACACATGATGAGTGGCTCGCATGGTCGCAAAAGAAAGATGTAGCTGACCCTTCTTTTTTAGGTACGAGGGGATGTGACAGCCATAATAAGGAAAATAAAGGTCGTGGACGTGGAAGTAGAGGAGGTCATGACAATAACTCACAAATCCATGACAATGCCAACCCTAGAAGGATGAGAATATGATCAAATGTTACTCTGGTGGAAAATATGGATATTATGCGGTAGAGTGGTGCAACATGGAGTGCGGTGAGGAGGCAAATCTCACATTCATGGATGATGAAGAGCCTAAATTAATGTTGGTCAAGAAAATGCCAAATTTGTTGATGCTCAATAAAGAGAAGGTTATGACAAACATCCTAACACATGGAGAAGACCAAATGAAGACTATCATGTGGTGCCTAGATAACGAAGTGAGCAATCACATGACTGGAGATAGAGAAAAGTTTAAGAAATTTGATAAGAAATTCATTGGAAACATGAAGTTTTGCAACGAATAAATTGTACTGATCCAAGGCAAAGATCCATCTTGTTTTAGTGTAAAACGACGATCAACATTTATTGACCAAGGTGTATTACATGTCTTTGACAAATGTGAGGAAATCGTTGCGGAGGAAAAAAGCCGAAGAAATTGTTGGGAGAAGAAAATAATGGAAAAAACAAAGAGAAGACAATATTTGCGCCGAAGACCCCATGGATTTCATTTCTCATTCAGTTGGGATATTTAAATAACAAATTACATCCTAAGAATGAAAGACATGGGCAACTTAATTAAGGTGCTTCCACAGAACGTGGACTTCCACTTACTCTAATTGTATGGGTTTAAGAGGAAAATAGTAAACTAAAAATTAGGATCACTTTCACTCAAAGGTAGGGATTTATCTAACAATCTCGTCCTAAAACCCTATAGTATATTTACCTTATTGTTTGAACTCCAATCTGAGCCCTATGGCTCGGTGTCCCGGCAACATGTCCTCCAGACTCCACCTCTTCTTCGAGCTCGCGCGCCGCCAGTCTAGATGGTTCACCTCCTCCCAGTAGGTCTTCCATCCTCCGGTACCTGGTCACGAGACCATCATTGTGATTGGCATCTAGCGTCGAATCCGCAGTACGTGGTGTTGCGAACTCCACTAGTTTAGGGGGTACATCCGGAGTCGTGGTTGGGTTGATATAGGTGTGTCCAGTGCAGCTGCTGGCGGTGGTGACGATTCTCTATGTTGTGCTCCTCCTTCTCCCGGTTCGGTGATGAGGTACTTCACTGTGAATTGATTTGGGTTTTGGTCTGCCGAGATGAATTCTCTGCCTCGGTCCGTATTCTCAAAATACCTATATTTACTCCTGTGGTAATAGGTGCGTGATTTCGTAATACACCAATTTGTCCATTATTCGTAACTAAAATTATTTCTTTCACTTATGAAGCCCAAATAATTCGATTCGGAGTCAGGACACTAAGATTTAAGGTCATTTCTTCACTTTGCTCTCCATTTCTTTCACTCAAAGGTAGGGATTTATCTAACATTACATACCGAGTTTGAAGAGAAGATTATTAGTCTTGGTCAAATTATAGAAGAATGTAGTAGAGTTGATTTATTCGATTGGTTCTTCAAGATATTTGACAGAAACAAAGTTTTGTTGATGAAGGTAAAACGGCCACAGAACTACTTGTATAAGATACTATTCAAAGACGATCAACATGTTCCAAAAGTATCTATTAGCATTGACAGTAAGAAAGGGGAAAAGAAATGAATGGGTTAGGAGAAAAAAGAATTGAATAACAGAGCGAAGAAGATACTAGAGACTGCTTCAATCAGCATTGTAGGTTCATCAAACCTGTGACTCAATCAAAGAAGCCTAAAGGTAGGCCTAAAAGTAAGTTAAAAAAAACACAGGAATACCTAAAGAATCTCAAGCAAAGTTAAGCTATTGGGGGGAGAATGTGTGTCATTAAGTTTTACTTAGTAATAATAGAGTGATTTATTTAGGAGAATTGTTACCGTACCCTCCCCTATAAATACTAATGAGAATAGGAGAATTGTTACTGTTTTCTCTCCTATAAATACTCGTGAGAGCTAAGAACTGAAAAACTTTTTTTGCTCCAAGAAACTCTCCCCTCAAATTGTTATTTATACTTCATTTATTTGTTTCAATATATTTGAATCGAGGAAGTCGTATCCAACAAAGATGACATATGTTTAATTTTTCTTTATGGACAGATTGCACCATATTGTGCATCAAAATGGGCAGTTGAGGGGCTAAGCAAATCTGTAGCAAAAGAATTGCCGGAAGGAATGGCTGTTGTGGCCTTAGATCCAGGCCTCATAAACACAGACATGCTCGTTTCATTTTCTGGCAGTTCAGCTTCAAAATATCTAACACCTGAACGATGGTATGGATATCATCAAATCATATATTCAACACTCAAATTTTTGTATAAATATATCCTTTTGTGTGTACTTATACATTCATTTTTCATTGTAATAAGGGCTATAAAAGCAGCGACATTGATTCTTGATCTCAAGGCATCAGACAATGGAGCTTCCCTCACAGTTAAGGATCCAACCGAGTTGTCCAGCCCATAATTTCTATGCCCTTGGATGATAATTAATTTGGTAAGCATCATTGATAGAATGTTTAGATATTAGATAAATGAGAGTGATGAATGTATAAATGTGTAGAAGGTAAATTTACTATGTGTAATATGAAATGCTTAAAAAAAATCCTAATCCCTTTCATTATAACCGTCTTAACTAATTTAGAAACTAAATCCCTTTAGTCACTTGATTAATTTTTTAAAAAGTTTTTGTCACCACCTATCATGACCCAATTTTCAAGATCTTGACTAATAGACAATATCAAAGTAAACATGTGTTAATTACTTTAGGATCGTGAGCGATGATATAGGGTTTGACCCTAGTGCTTCAAGATTAAGAAAGAATCGAGGAGTCAGAGTTAAAGTATTCTGAAGCCGAAAGTCTGCATTAAACCACTTAGTCGTCTTAGGAACCCAATTCCTCCTTAGCACCCATAGAATATAAGATGATGATTAGAATATGAGTTCCTTGCTTTCGGTGATCGATAGAAATATCTCCCTAAGAAGCATGTATGAGTGAATCAAGTTAAGATTAGGCACTACAACTAAATCAATTTACACGTTGACCTAGGTTAGTGTGTTTCTTGTAGACCATGCACCCCAGGATCGTGAGCGGTGATCAAAAGTTTAGACCGATGTGCACCCAGAGATTAGATTAGCCCCCAGGAGCTAACCTTGAGTAACTCAAAACACGAGAAGAGATTTAAACCGCCTTGACATGATGGTCTTAATATAACACATGCGGAATCAATTTGGATCTTAGGCCCTTTAAGTACATCAATTATAGTGAATTAGCTAGCATGTTCAAAAGCATTAAAACTCAATGAGTTTGAATACTAACCTTTTGTCACTCAAGTTTCTTTTTCCACACGAACCGATTTTGAACCACCACTAGTGCCTTCTCTACTATTCTCTGGCCTTAGAACGGGATTGTGGAATCCGGTGCGTGACTAAACTTGGGAGGGATTTAGTATATATGAAGAGAGAGTTTGTGAGAGGTTTTTCTCAAGGTTTTTTCCTAAGGAAGACCTTTCATGTACCATGATCACTCTATCTATAAAGTCATGTTTGCATGTTGATGCAAATTTGAGATACCAAATTTTGACACTCAAAATTCCATTAAAATTTGTGCGGTTTATTGGATTTTTTCATTAAATGAAGTCAAACATATTGACTTTCTTATTCAACCATTAATTTGAATAATTAATTTCAAATTAAAGTAATATTAAATAATTAATTAAACTATTTAATTAATATTTAATATTAATTCAAATGCCAATCTCAATCAATTCCGACACATATTTGAGTAAGATATTTAAATCTTATTTAAATATCTAAGATTCTCTCTTTTTGTTTAATTTGTAAATAAAATAAAAATGCGGTTAAATATATCGTATATATGTAGCACATATTCCCTAATTTGAATTCGAACAGAAGAACTCACTCGTCACATTGTTCTATGGTTTAGTCCAATATGAGCTAGCAGAGAGACCTAATGGACCTATAGATCATGGGCTCCAACGATCCAAGATTAACTGGTTAAACTCATTAACCTTGTTAACCAACATTCGTTAACCACTAGAACACTCCACTATAGCCTAGTAGTTGCACTCCTATTACTATAGATATATTTCTGTCCATTTGATATAACCATGATGAGTAAGTCGATCATTCACAGGTTGTTCGTAACTAGAGCTAGGTCAATTTACCGTTTTACCCCTAAAGTTACTTCTTGTTCCTTATGTCTCACTGTTCCTCTAATGAACAATTGGTTTGTGGTCCAACCAGTTAACCGAATCCCTCTCAGGCCAATGAGAGGGTGAGGCCCCTTGTTCAAGACCTGGAGTCAATGCTTAAGGGAACTACCTCTCTTTCTATCCCTAAAAGTGGGTAGGAGTGAATTCCATCTTGCACCCCACGTCCCCAACCATCTTACCCCTGAAATAGGAGACCTATTGAGTTGGCGAACTCGAGCCACTCTCACCCATACAAATCTAAGGATAATTCCGAATAAACAGGAGTTCATGGTTAGCTCATGATTAAAATCGAGTTACCTAGGTCATCAAATGAAAAGAAAATCAGTCTCAACAATAAACGACATTATAAAGTGAGAGTGATTTTCTTCATGGTTCGATCTTATGCAATACTCATTGCATAGAACACCCCCACTCACATGTCTCCACATGTACAATTTAGTGATCACATTGTTTATGTCATATACAAAAGTGGGCCACATCCATAGTGTCCCAAGTATAAGATACTCAGCCTTATCCTCATACTATAGATCATTTTGACTATATACTTGAACTTGATTCACTTTTATGTCTCTACATATAGTTCAAGTAATCATATTATAGTCAGAGTGTTCTTAGTTTATTGGATTTAAATTAATAATCGTAAAGTTCACTTTATTCAATAACAATCTTTACTGAATAAACAACAATAATAACTTTATTGAAAATAGAATATATTTTCGTTTACAAACTATGAGTTTTAGGACATAAAACCTAACATCAGTAGGAGCAACCATATTAAGAGAGAACACCACCTTCTCCACCTGCTTCAATGTCTCGTCATTATTTTCAATTTTTTGCAAAAACATTCCAGACGCATCGAATGTCACATTTCGACTATTAACAATCTTACTTGTTTCTGTCATAACCTATAGCCCTTCACACCTTTGCTAAAGCCCATAAATTTGGCTTTTTTTGCTCTAGGATCCAGCTTTGAGTCTGTCACATGATAATAAGCAGGACTGAAGACAACACTGAAGACAACACTGAAGACAACCCTCACCAAAACAAAATAAATGAACTTTTTTATATATTAAAACTTTTCAGATATAAAATAATCGGGCGGTCCAAAAGGGGATGGAGGATACCCAGCTCAATCAACGAGATGAGCATCTAGTCGAGTG